GAAAAAGAGGAAGACCTCCAAGAAGACGGACTGACACAGTGGCTGCAGCAATGGGCTGTAACATAACAATTGTGAAGATGGCCAAGGACCAGGCAGCATTTCACCATGTTGTGCATAGGATGTCTATGAGTCAGAACCAACTCAACAGAACCAACCAACAATTCAATCCATAACACCATTGGAACCGAAGGCCACAAAAGTAGACGAGGCCCTTCCTACTACATCTAAGCAGAGTGACTACTTGCTAGAGTGAAAATTTAGATACACAAAAGAACACCCAAACTTGCAGATAGTATCCATTTGACCTAGCTTTGATGACTTAACGATCAGAACTTGAATAGTGGAAGATAAACAAATTTGATAAAGGAAACAAGTGTGAATTGCTACAATTTGATGAACTTGACCTATACATATGAATGCAGTAGCTCAAAATACCAACCAAGAGGCAAAAAGTCTTCATATAAAGGACCAAACATATACCCTCAGTGTGCAGGGTTGATAGGGATGAACAACTTAGACATTGTTTACCCAAAATGTGGAGGGTGAGGGGCACCCGGTGGCTATAAAGGCATAAAGTGGCTGGCTTACAAGTTTTCAAGAGGGAGTTTAGTTTCAGAGTGTGCGGGAAGACGTAGAATCCCCACTGAATACTTTTCATCTTGTCTAGATGGGTCTGGTGAGTGTCTCCTAGTGCAATAGCCAAAATGTCCAAGATACACACACACAAACCACATGTCATACCATTCAAAAATCATTACTGGAGCAGAAAAGCTCATCTTTCTCCCTCAGAGGGGCTGGGAAGTTTGAACTGATGACCTTGTGGTTAGCAGTGGAGTCCTGGTGTAGCTCTGTGGGTTAATGTGCTGGACTGCAAAGTCAGTTTAAACAAGCTCACCAGCTGCTCTTCAGAAACCCTATACAGGGTTGCTATGGGTCAGAACCTACCCAAAGACATTTAACAACAACAACAATAACTTATCCTACAATGCACCAGGGTGCCAGATAAATCACAGCGTGGATGAATCAGATGCTGGAATTATCTGACAAGGGTTTCAAAGCAGCCAGCATACAAATGTCTTGTTGTTGTTGTTGTTGTTATTAGGGGTCATCAAGTCGGTACCAACTCATAGTGACCCTATGTACAACAGAACATAACACTGCCCAGTCCTGGGCCGCCCTCACAATTGTTGCCACACTTGAACCCATTGATGCTGCCATTTTGCCAATCTATCTTTCTGGGGTCTTCCTCTTTTTCTCTGACCCTCCACCTTACCAAACATGATACCCTCCTCCAGTGACTGGTCCCTTCTGACAATATGTTCAAAGTATGAGAGTCAAAGTTTGGCCATCCTGGCCTCCAAGGAGCACTCTGGCTGCACTTCTTCCAACACAGATCTGTTGGTTCTTTTGGCAGCCCATGGCACTTTCAATAGTCTCCTCCAACACCGTAACTCAAAAGCATCAATTCTTCTATGGTCTTCCTTACTCACTGTCCAGCTTTCGCATGCATATGAAGTTATTGAAAATACCATGGCTTGGGTCAGGGGCACCGTAGTGCTCAAGCTGACATCTTTGCTCTTCAACACTTTAAAAAGGTCCTGTGCAGCAGATTTGCCTAATGCAATACGTCATCTGATCTCTTGACTGCTGCTTCCGTGAGTGTTGATAGTTGATCCAAGAAGAATGAAGTCCTTGACAACTTCAATCTTTTCTCCATTGAAAAGAATGTTGTTTATTGGTCTAGTGGTGAGGATTTTTGTTTTCTTTACATTGAGATGCAATCCATACAGAAGGCTGTGTTCTTTGATCTTCATCAGTAAATACTTTAAGACAAATGTCTTAGCAAATAATTATACACTCTCTCGAAATAAATTAAAAAGCAGTAATATTCAGCAAACAAATAAATATATGTTATACTCAATCAACAGGTAGAAATTATAGAACTGAAAATTTTATTTGAAAAAATTTGAAAAGTTGCTGGGTGGGCTCAATATTATAGAGACTCGCCTTGGTATAAATCTAACAACTTGTACAAAAATTCACTCAAAATGAATCGTAAACTCTAACATAAAATGTAAGATGATAACACTTTTAGAAGGTAAAAAAGGAAGAAAATCTCCTGGTTCTAGGGTCAGGAAACAGATCTTAGACCTAACACCAGAAGTATAGTATATAGAAAGAAAATTTGGTACATATTTACATATTTACTCTGTGAAAGACCCCACGAAGAAAATTCAAGGACAAGGCACAGTTCAATAAACATCAACAGTTATCAGTATTATTCTAGTGATCTGGCTTAAAAAGACCCCAAACTCAAATATATTTTATAGAGACTGCTTTATTAAGTCTTAGAACAAAGTAAAACAATGACAAATCACTAGGATGGGGAGACAATCAACATAAGGACATAATGATGGTCAAAGGGGTCATGGTCAAGTGTCTAACTCTATCACTGGACTAGCAGTTAGCAGTCCAGTGCTTATCCTACAGTGCCACTCTAGGACTCCACTCTAAACAGTTGTTGTGGTTGTTATGTGCCATGGAGTTGGTTCTGACCCATAGCGACCCTGTACAGGGTTTCTGAGGCTATAAATCTTTACGGGAGCAGAAAGCTTCATCTTTCTCCTGTGGAACAGCTGGTAGTTTCGAACTGCTGACCTTAAGGTTCACAGCCTGATTCATAACCAAGACGCTACCAGAGCTCCTTACTCTAAACAGTAGCCTTCCCCAAACTAAGGGCTCAGATTAAGCTCTAATATACTACCTAGAGGAACCAAACGTCATGCATATGGAGAAAAGAGATTACAGCTCCAGCAACACTCCCCTTCTTTTCATTGTCTTCATTCACAGGCACTTGGCTCTAGTGTCCAACCCAGAAGTATGAACCTGGTGTGCTAAATGGCATGGCAAGGTGAGAGAATAATGTCTGATCTTTGCAACTCCCATGATCTATTTTTCTGCTTCGTTTTTCAAGTGTCTGCAAAATTAGAAGGCTGCCACTTAAAGTAGTTCCTGTTTGCTTCAATTATTCTTCTAATTATTAATATGTTGACTGGGTTCAGTATACCAGCACTTCACTGACCTTAACCAACAGGAAAAATCTTGAATTGGGAGGTAACATAAAGGACTCATGCCAAGGCATAATCTTTAGGGGAAAACAATAGATACCAGTTCCCTGCATTTTGCTGGGACAGCTCCTTGATATCTCTTTGTACTTGGAATTAGAGCCATTTTCCCAGCTATGCACAGTAAAGACAGGGAAATCAGCAGGCTAGACTGGATAGAACCATTTCAAAACTTACAAACAGTAAATGTCAGCATTGTTTGGCACTCAAAGTGACGTTGAAAGCTACTCAACAGCTAAGAAAACAGATTCCTTAGAGAAGAGCCTGGGGAGAAAAGAGACTCCATTTTCACATATATGCATATTATGTTATTGTTGTTGTTAAGTACTGTTGGGTCCATTTCGACCCATAGCGACCCTGTATAGGGTTTTCAAGGAGCAACTGGTGAGCTTGAACCACTGACCTTGGAGTTCAAATGACTTTGCAGTTTGACGCATTAACCCACAGCGCCATACCAGGACTCTAATCTACATGTTACAGAGACTCTTTATTATGTCTTAAGCAGGAGTTAAGACAATATAAAACAAACATCGATCACCCAGGTTAGGGAAAACATCTATATGACGCCATGATGAATTTCTAAAGTTCTACCTCCACAGAGGATAAAGGAATCTCGTCCCACAACCATGAGCATCAGTTCAGCACAAACTCATGAGGGCCTAGAGAAGCAGCAAGGAGACAGATACAGATAGGAATGCTTAGAGATTCTCTATGAGGTTCTTGGGGTATGACATCACAAGTAGGCAACCATTAAGGCAGCCCAAAATACACTTTCAAATATACTTTGCTGGTAACACTAACAGTTTGGCTGTCAGAGATACATGAGTTACTCAAGAAAAATTGGCATCTGAACACTTAAAACGTAGCCACAAAATGGAATTAAGCTCTGCCTGGCTAGAATCATTCACAGGCAAAAAGGCTTTACATTTCAAACTCTAAAGCATTATCACTGATATTGGCAAGACAGCCAGTGTGTTTCCTACCAGCTAAGTTTATAACACAACTGACCCTACTTGCAGCTCTACTTTTTTTTTTTTTTCTGAAAAAAAAGTAAGCACAGTCATGCAACAGTAACCATATACTTTGTTATAAATATTTATGCAATTGAGGCTGGATTAACTGCATTGAGAAACAAAGTTGATTTACTTGAAATACCAACTGCCAGTAGCCAAGAAGAGTCAGCAAGAAGTCAAGGTATATATTCAGGGTCTCAACCCTTCCCTCTGCACGCACTTGCAAGCTCCCTGCCCACATTGACTTCTTCCAGGATCCAAGGTAAGTGCTTCCAATTTCACACCTTAACATTTTTGTAAGTAACAGCAAGATGTGTTTTAAGTGGTCCATCAGTTTCACTCTGTGTGATTGTCATGGCAAAATTAAAGTAGCTTCTTTTCAGACTTTATCTGATAGATTTATTTTGGAGTAAACAAATGTACTGTTAGCAGCTTAGATGGAAGAGCACTTCATGGCCTCAAAGCTTTGATGGAAGAGTGCACTGGAGAGCTGACTAGACAGAATCAGACATAAAACATTGTCTTGGCTTTCATTTTAACACCTTTTCTACCTTTTCCACCCAGATGTAGAGCAGCCAGTGATGAAGAGAAGATACTAACATGTTGCTACTTTTTTTTTTTTTTTTTTTTTGGCAAGTCATAACTTTTCTAAGAATAGTGGTGTTACTAAGTTTCCCAGTTAACACATCTTCATTGTGAAAGTCTTGAAAAAATTTAAAAAAAATCATTGCCATAAGCACCCACCCAGATAGAAATCATTTTCCTTTAAGACATATTCAATTCAGAATACCATTCTGTTGGGTAAATCCATTATAAAACGCATCTGCTGTTTGTCCAGAGCTCCAGATCAACCAAGGGCCCCATGGATTCCCTCAGTGAAGCAAACACCTGCTTTGGGATTGATTTGTACCAACAGATGAGAACATCCAAAGACGGCAACATCTTCTTTTCCCCGCTAAGCATCTCATCAGCATTATCCATGGTCTATTTAGGTGGAAAAAACAACACTGCCTTACAAATGGAGAAGGTAGGGGACAGCTTCTTTGGGGGTTACCTATTGGGAGGATATCATTGCATGCTCACTGACCTAGCTGGCCTAGGGCTTAGTGCAGGAGGCTGGTCAGGCAGGTTCCAGGAAGGAGGAGTGCTGAGTGCTAGATAGGGGAAGGTAGTCCTACCCAAATGTTCCACTCCCATCTACTGGCTTGGACCAGACCTTCCTTGGGGAACTAGCATGGTCTCTTACAGTTTCCCAACTGTGAGAGGTGAGGTGTAAAATGTGGCACCTATTACTAGAGATGATGCATGCATTGACTTAGATACTTGGGAAACATCCGCAGATGTCTGCTCAGGAGTGAATGGAGGGAGGGAGGGAAAGGTGGAGGGAGAGAAAGGGAGGAAACACTCTTTTGAAGTAGTTCATGATAAACCACATCTCTGGTGTGTTTTGTTTCGTTTTGTTTTCCCAAAAAGAAAACTCTTACATGGGCGTCTTTTCTTATATATTGTGAGAACCATTGTCGATACACCAATACTGCCTCGGTTCCTCTTGTTTATGAGGTCACAGATGAGTTATCACGAGTGCTTACCTACTGATGCTCAAGAAGTCCAGCATGTACTCATTTTAGAGAGACTGAGGTGTTCTTTATTCAATTTTGCAAAACCAGGCACTCGACCCAGAGGACACAGGTAGATACCACGTGTGCAGCCAGCGTGCAGAGAATTTTATTCTCTTATCTCAAGAAAGTCCCTCCCAAGATTCTTCATTGACTGAGTACAATGGGGTGAACTATCTTTCCTCAGATGCTGCCTACTGTCCTTTAATGGTAGCATTCTGACTTAAAGTTAGTCTCCCCCTCACCCCATGAGCTTCCCCTATTTCCTTGAAGGTTGGATTCTTATTTAAAGTTCCTAGCCAGGCCAACAAGTTTCTTTTCTTGTTACACTAACTGGCAACTCCCTGGACGCCCTTCATTCCTGTGTGAAGTCCACAGCAATTTCCTAAACTGTCAAATAAGAGATTGAACTATCAGGGGCTCTTTAAAATTCACTCCTGGATTTATCATAATCCATGCATGACTAATTGCAAGGAGCTCTGGTAGCTAGTGGTTACAAATCAGGCTGCTAATCTCACGGTCAGCAGTTCGAAATACCAGTTATTCCACAGTAGAAAGATGAGGCTTTCTGCGCCTGTAAAGATTTACAGCCTCGGAAACCCTGTACAGGGACGCTATGAGTCGGAACCGACTCCACAGCACATAACAATAAACAAAAACATGACTAATTGCCTCTGTAGTATAATCAAGATGAGAATAACTGAGTAATTCCTGAAGATGGATCATCTTGAGAATTTACTTCTCACATGTTGAAACTCTTACGTGGAGTGATTCTGATGTGTGTGTGTGTGTATATATATGTGTGTTTGTGCGCGCGCAGCGGCTTATCTTCTGAGTAGAGCTCTCAAACCACTTCCTCTCTTCAGGTCCTTCACTTTGATGATGTCACAGGGAACTCAGAAGCAGGGGCTACGAAAGAGCAGGTGAGTCACTCGGCACTGGGCCCACAAGTAGCCGCAAATACCCAGGGTGGGTCAGAGTTTAAAATGAAGGGAACATCACAGAAACTGTGAAAAGTCAGGAAACTTTTGGGCAAAAAAGACCAGCTCTTGCAGAGTCGTCTTACATTTTATGTCATGTAGAGTTCAGAGATTTGCAAAGGGAACCCAGAATGATTGGTTGACATTGCTGAGTAGGTAGAAGGCAAACTATGTAAAAAGCAGTCTTCCTATTTTCATTCTACTGTGGGGAAGTCGGCCTTGTGCTTCAGGGAATGAATAATAGAGTTAGACCATGTGGGTTCAAATCCCAGCTCTGCTGTTCACTGCTCTGAACCACGATGACTTCCTCTTAGAAAACCAAGGGCCAGAAAAGAAGCTGCCTCAACATGTGGGGACTTCAAAAGGATTATGGGAACTGTCCATTATCTTTTCATTCCATTGTTCCATGAACTTTTTGAATCCCATTTGTACATGCAAATCTATACAAAGTAATTTGAGTTTTGAATTCGTCATAGGTATGAATTAGGTAGATTCTAATTTAAATGCTATTTTTATCAAAACAATAACAAAGGAAATTCTGAAATGTAATCCATTTATAAGTAGGAGTTGTTAAGTGTCGTTGAGTCAGTTCCAACCCATAGAAACCCTGTATAGTGTGAGAAGAAAGTATGTAGAGGCCAGTAATGCTATAAGACATCTTAAAATGCGTAGGACAGGCCCCCAGAGCAGAGGATCCACAAGCCCAGAATGCCAGTAATATCAAGACTGAACAATTTTACACTCAACAAAAAGAACTGAGAAGAAAGGAAAATGTTATGCCTTCCTCCAGAACACAGCATTAGAACTTTTCATCCAAATGTGTGGGAATACCTCACTCAAGCCTCCCTGAGCAGGTGTTGTTCTTACGTTCAGTGTGTGTACCTTTCACCCGGTGTAATGCTGTAGGATAAGTGCAGGGCCATGAGGTCAGTTTGAACTGCAAAGTCGGCCGCTTGAACTCACCAACTGCTCCTCAAAAACCCTATGCAGGGTCGCTATGAGTTGGAACCAACTCGACGGCACTTAACAACAAGAAGCCCTTAACCAAGGGGAATCCTAAACTACAATGAACATATATATAGTTGCAAGGCACACCACATTCTCTCTGGCTGTTAGAGATGACATACTGTTCTTGCACTTAAGGAACACAGAGCTGGTTGGAAAACTAAGGTTAGTCATGGAACCAATGAGAGGACAGGTCAGCAGTAGAATGCAAGTGGACACATCAGTTCTTCAAGACAGAGAAGACCAGATGTGTTAGAGCAAGAAGAAATCATTTTCTGGACATAAAGCCAAACATTAACCAAAAGACAGACAGCAAGCCCAAAGACATTGGTGAGGCTACCAAGTGTTAGATATTTACATTGTCAGGTTGACTCATTGAGTTTCCTTTTTGATATTGGAAGGTGGCAAAGGCAGACAATGTGCATCCTCAATTTCAAAAACTCCTGACTGAACTAAACAACCCCACTGATGCATATGAGATGAACATTGCCAACAGGCTCTACGCCGAAGAGAGCTATCAATTTCTTCAGGTACGTTTCACTGGGCTCACCACCACTCCCACCTGCTTCCTGGGTCCTATGGAGGCCAGTAGGGCATGGCATCCTGGTTGACACAGGTGGGGACCACTAACCCAGGTGCCTGAGGCTCTCTTACCACACAATTCTACCCAGTGAAGGTCCCCGGGTGGCACAAGTGGTTTGCAACCAGCTCTAAATGTTTGAAACCATCAAGAAAACTCTAACAAACTGTTGGCTGTGGTTGTGTGTGCACAGCAATCCTATAGGACAGAATATAGCAATCCTATAGAACTGTCACATAGGGCTTACAACCAGGAAAACCATCTGGAGCATTTCAATTGTGTAACACATGGAGCTGCCATGAGTTGGAATCAAGTTGATGGCAAGGGACTTTTGGGGTGTCACAGAGCTGACACTCCACCAATGAAGTATAGCGTTAGGGGTTTTGTTATATGGTCAAAGAAGAGGTTGGTTGTGTAGCAGAGTTGTTCATGAGCTACCACTAATGAACCAACATCAATTACGTCACACAGAGTAAAATTTGGGGCAGTATGACTTGAGATATATATGGCGAATGGGATGTTGATGGGATGGGCGGGTTTGGATGAGACCTAAGAAAGTTGAGGTGTACTAGGAAATCTTGAATGCCCAGGGTGAAGAGATCTGCAAAGGTGAGAAATGTAAAAGGTTAAATTACTAATGAGAAGGCTCCAAAACAAACATCTCTCTTAAGGCAACTTGAAATCTCTTCTCTCCCAGCCTCTTCTTGAGATGCTATTGTCCTTCCATGCCTCTTTCTAGTACCAGTCTGTACTCACCTTTCTTGGTACCACATCACATCTATATCAAAATACGCATGGGCAGTAGAAGTGATGTTGTTCCGTCTCAATTCCCACTTACTCCATTTTGTAATATTTGAAATCATTTAATTTAAAGAGTCATAGTTACTAATACATTTACTTTTCATTCCTCTTTCTTCCCATCTTAAAGGAGTACTTGAATGGTACTAAGAAATTTTACCTCTCTTGCGCGGAATCTGTTGACTTTGTAAATGCTGCAGAAAAGAATCGAAAGAAGATTAATGACTGGGTGGCACAGCAAACACATGGTAGAGTATGGGCAGGTTGTTCATCACCAAAGCACTTCTTGAGTGCCCACTGCTGGTGGAATCCTGTGTGCTTGTACTGCATGGGGACCACGGGAAACAAGGTTGGGATGAGGAGAGTGTTGAGATGGACTTTGTGGGGATTTGAAGGATCGGGCTAGGCAGAGATCGTGGAGTTCTGATCAAAGGTATAGAAAGTCAAGGGGAGCCAAGGAAGCCAGCCGCATGGGTTCCCTCCTGGACAGATGGTCCATGTTGCCATGGATGACACTGTTTGGGTGGATCTCTACTCTCTTCTAGATCCATCTTGGGTCATGTCTTTTTCTTTAAATCAGAGCCTGGACTTGTGATTCTGGATCTCTTAGAGAAACTCTTTTAAAGGGTTAATTTCTCCTTGTTACACAGGAAACAACCTATTATCCTGTAAAGTACTCTTCTTGCTACTTTGGGCTTGAGTTGACACATTTTCATCTTCATGCGCTGCAGGGATTATCAAATCTGTTGTTGTTGTTGTTGTTAAGTGCATTGAGTCATTGAGTCCCATCTATAGTGATCCTATATAGGGCTTCCCAAGAGGGCTGGTGAGCTTGAACTGCTGCCAAAGTCTCCATCCTAGGGAGGCCTATAACATTCCCGCCACCTATTATAAGTCAAGTGTACACCGATTCAATAAGGTGTCCTTGGATGGTGCAAACGGAATGGTTAAGCTCTTGACTACTAATGGTCTAAATGCACTCAGAAGACAGACCTGGCAATTTGCTTCCAAAAAAAAAGTCACATCCTTAAAAACCCTGTGCACACATGGGGTTGTCATGAGTCAAAATCAACTCAAGGATGAGAAGCAACAAGAGCAATTCAAAGTACAGAATGACTAGGAAGACACCCCAGGGCATGGTGTCCGACAGCGCAGGGTATGGTTTTGATTGTAGAGGCCATGCCACTTGCTAGTTTTATCAGCATTCAGTGAAGTCACCCATTGACAGAGACCCGGGATTTCTTTCCCATCACAGGAAGAGGTGACTGTTACCAGGTTGGCAGCAGGAGGAAAGTTGTACCTGGTGAGCTGTTGGCCTTTGAGTCCATACAGTTGTGACTTGGGTGAATAACTCATCATCAGTCAGGGCCATTTGCAAATTGTCTTCCAGGCAAACCACTTGTGCTTTGCATGGCAGACAATTTTTCTTCTCTTTGTTTCCCCCCCAGAAAAAATCAAGGAGCTGTTACCTGAAGGTTCCCTCACTGAGTCCACCATACTGGTGCTGGTAAATGCCATCTATTTTAAAGGGCAATGGGACCAGGAATTTAATCAAGACAACACAACAGAGGAAAAATTTTGGCTGAACAAGGTATAGTGTACATTCTGTATATATAAGTAATGTAGTCAGGCATAGACTGTTGAATTTAAACTCATGCCTGGCAGAATGCACAAATGTAGATAGAAAATGTAAGCTGTTATTTTCTTCTTGTGACTTTACTTGCTGAGACTCCTTGAAGACATTCCCGTGCCTCTCCCTCTTTACGCCTCTATCCCCGCAAGAGTAACTTCAAGAGTATTATTGAAATTTATCCTTGGGAGTAGTATATATGTATATATTTTTTAAGAGTTAGCAAAGTCTAACTCTTAAAAGTCACTATGTTTTCCACTAAACCAAGCTACCATATGGCTTTCCAAATATAATGTGTACAGCAAATGGAAATCCACATGGCTGCATGGTTTAGTGGAAAACATAGTGGACTTTAAAGAATTAGGCTTTGCCTCCTGGTTCAAGTTACAACCTTCACCTTTAATTAAGGCTAATCTTTGAGGATCTCTTGAAGAACATCTTGGTCTCGAATTCTCAAGTTTCTTTTGATAACACTTAGTAGAAAAATGTGTTTGGTATTTCAATAATACTTTTAAAAATTATTGTTATCTTACGCCTCCTTTAACTATTGTTTGCCTTGTTCATTTGTTGTAGGAGACGAGCAAATCTGTGCAGATGATGAAACAAAGTAAGTCCTTTAATCTTGTCTTCCTGGAGGACGAGCAGGCCAAAGTCCTGGAAATACCATACAAAGGCAAAGACCTAAGTATGTTTATCTTGCTGCCAAATGAAGTAGATGGCCTGAAGAAGGTAAAATCTTGTCCCTCCAACCTTTCACTCTGCAGCCCGTTTCCTAATGCTGCAATGCTTGTATGGGCTGCTCTTGGAAGCAGTGCTCACAAATTGGCAGTGGTCGCTGACCAAGCTTAGAGAATGTATCATTTCTTCTCTATGTACAACATAAAGGAAAATTGTTCAGGGGAATCTGGCTCACTGTATAAAAATGGAGATATCATGCCAACAGTTAACATGCTCAGCCTCTACCCAAAAGGTTAGTCTTGTGAGTTCACCTGAAGACACCACAGAAGATGAGAGTTACTGTCAAGTCAGCCACTGACAACGCTACAGAGCACAGCTTTACTCTGATACCAACAGTCACTGAGAATCAAAATCAGCTCAGCAGCGTCTGGTTAGCATAGTCTGATACAGGAGAATCTATAGAAAATACTAACTTCACAGGCCCCTTTACTCTTCTGATGAAAATATGGAATTTCACCCCAGAAAAGAAATACACCTGAGTACTGACACATAAGCCTTTACATCCTTAAGAATCTCTGATGAGCTGTTGGCCTTTGAGTCCCTACAGAGGTGATTTGGGTGAATGGTTCAATCTATCCATCTTAAGACAAAGGAACTAAAACTCAATGGAAAAGCTTCAACTTCATCAACAAACAAAGCCAAGCAGATAAAAATATGAGGCGCTGACATTTTGCACTAACTAAATCAGAGTGGTTCAGTAGACAGTGGACAAACAAATAGATTTATTTTGAATGCCTCCTGGTGGGGCATTGTAGGATAAAGCACTGGACCACAAGGTCGATTTGAACCACAAGTTTGGCGGTTCAAACCCACCAGCCACTCATTTGAACCACAAGGTTGGCAGTTCAAATCCACCAGCCACTGCTTACAAATTCTATACAGGGTCGCTATGAGTTGGAACAGACTCAGCGGCACTTAACAACTATCTAGTTTAGAAGTATTCTGACCTGAGGAACTCAAAAATTATTCTGAGTCTCATCCCTGGGAGTAAAAAAAAAAAAAAGTGGATAATAAAATTTTCCTCTTATTGTTGTTAATCATTGGTTTCATGATGATAACCTTCAAAGTGCCAATAACAGGTTTGGTAAAATGAAAACCATTCCAACGATGCCACTGAAGTTGCAATGAAGCTGCCCAAATGGTACTGATAACCTTGGAAATCAGAAATCCTGGGAGAAAGTCATGTGGTAACATGTGTGAAGTGTCATTACAGGCTCAGTGACCCCCCTAATCAAATACTAGTAAGCCCAGCCCTGCGATTTTACCCTAAGATAACAAGTCGAAAGAAGGCAAACACTACCAAAACCATTTGGAGAGTCAGATCCGACTCAGTGATCACACAGGACAGAGTCGTTCTGCTCCACAGAATTTTCAAGGCTGCAATCTTTGCAGACACAGATTTCCATGTCTTTGCCAATGGAGCAGCTGGTGGGTTTGAACCACTAACCTTTCAGTTAGCAAGTAAACACTTAACCACTGTACCACCAGCATTCAAAGATGGCTTAAAATAATGAAAAATCCGAAAGAAGGAACAAGAGTGTATCTCTGTATTAGTCTTTTAGGATAGGGTCTGTCACACACACACTGCTCAATACGTGTTAGTTACTCACAGTTACATACATTGGATAGCAATCTGATAATATGATTTCATAACAATTTAGAGATGGCTGAGAGTGATATATAGCAATGTGGGAAAACATTACAAACACATCCAGCAATAAAAGAAGCAAAAATAAGGTGTAAGTTATCATTGTACTATGCAAACAAAAATACATGCCCAGGGACAATAAGAAGAAGAGGCTATTTTCAAATGCAATGTGTAGTAATTAGACTTGGGCATAAGGAAAGTTGTTGTTACTGTTAAGTGCTGTCAAGTCAGTTCCAACTCATAGTGATCCTGTATAGGGTTTCCGAGGCTGTACATCTTTGCAGGAGTACAAAGCCTCATCTTGCTCCATATTCAGGACTGTGCAATTATTTGCCTACTGTCAAAAAGAGAGTCCTCGTGTGATGTTGTGGGGTAATGCACTGGACCATAAGGTTGGCGCTTCAGATTCACCAAACATGCCTCAGAAATGTTATACAGACTTGCTATGAGTTGGAACCAACTCGAAAACACTTAACAACACCGCCATAAAATACATGTACCAAATAAGCCTTCTGTATTTTACATTTATTGTGAGAAGAAAGCTTTTATACCTGACATAATCCAATGTTGCAAAGTCTTCATGGCAGTTCCTTCTTTTCATTTTTATAGATTGAAGATACACTCACTGCAGAGAAATTATTAACGTGGATGAGTCCATCAAGTATGGTAAAGTCACATGTGGACTTATACTTACCTCGGTTCAAAGTGGAGGATAAATACGGCCTCAATGACATGCTGAAAGCCCTGGGCATGGTGGACGCGTTCAGTCCACAGGATGCTGACTTCTCAGGCATGATGGGGAGCCAGGGTCTCATGATATCTAAAGTTCTCCACGAGGCCTTCGTGGACGTGAACGAAGAGGGGACTGAAGCTGCAGCAGCCACTGGCATAGAAATTGTTCCAACATCTTTCCCCATTTACCAAGAGTTCCACTGTGACCACCCTTTCTTGTTCTTCATCAAGCATAAGGAAACCAACAGCATCCTTTTCTTTGGCAGAATCTGTTCCCCTTAGGTGTTCCTGGCCTGTCACCGTGTTTAAAAAATCTCAGGATCATTGCAGTAAAACAATTGCTAGAAATTACAGATTTCTTTTTGTTCATTTCCCTTTTCCAGTCCCTCAGTCAAAACAAAGAATTTAACAGTTGAAATAACATATCTCTCTTTCCACACACACATAAAAACACACTTCTTTTTCTACATGAAAATTCCTTTTAGGATCAAATATTGAAGTTCAAGAAAAGATAAAGGAATGTTTCAACACTCTATCATCTCCTAAATATGAACTGTCATTATGTTTGTGGATCTTTAGAGACAAAACTAATTAAACCATTCCTGTTCCATAAATGTATTGACTTAAGCATAAACATTTTCTTTGAAATTGGGTGGTATCTGGGGACCTTTACAGTTCTAAATCTTGTGATCCTATAAAATACATCCACCAATGATTTCCTCAAATTATTTGCTGCTCTCTGGTGTTTTTTTTTTGTTTTGTTTTTTGTTTTCTTTTTAAACAAACTGCAAATGGTCAATCACATATAGAAAAGGTAACTTGGAAATATACCAATAACTTGGAAACATACCAATCATACAGAAAGTAAACTTAAAAACCAGGGTAGGAGATGATGAGGCCAGGGAACTAGTCAGAGATCAGAACATGAAGGACTTTGTAGCCAAAATTAACTTTCAGTCAAACAACAGACGAGCCTATTGTTGTTGTTAAGTGCCTTTGAATCTGTTCCAATTCATAGTGACCCTGCATAGTTTCCAAAAAGCAACTGGTGGATTTGAACGACCAGCCTTTAGGTCATCAGTCCAGTGCTTATTCTACAGCACCACACAAGGACTCCAGACAGGCCTGCAGGTGAACAATAATACCAGAGAGGTGCGTGCTGAGATCAAAGGGGCGACATTCGCTCAGGGAGGAAGATCAAAGGCAAGAAAGGACAGGAAAGGAGGGCCGATGGAAATGATCAACACAGGAAAGATGTGGAAAGGGTATTATTACATAGTGGGGATTGCAATCAATGTCAAGAAACAAAATGTGTGTATGAATTGGTGAATGGAAAAACAATTTGCTATGTAAGCTTTCAGTCACAATATAATTTTTGTAAGCAATATTGTTCTTGTTAAGTGTCATGGAGTTGGTTCCAACTCATAGTGACCCTGTTTAAGGTTTCCAAGGAGCAGCTGGTGAGTTTGAACTGCCTACCGTGTGATTGAAACCGACCTTGCAGTCCAGTGCATTATCCCACAGCACCGTAATAGAAATTCAGACTAGGTTTTGTTTGTTGTTTGCTGTTTAAAGGGAAGAATGACATGACTATGTTTGCATCTTGAACCTCAAACCAGTAAAACCAGTTGTTGTCAAGTTGATTCCAACTCACGGTGGCCCCGTGCGTGGCAAGCAGAACTGAAATCCATAGGACTATGACTTTTCAGCAGAACTGAACTCCATAGGGCTATGACTTTTCAGAAGGCTGACAGACTTTTCTTCTGAGGTACCTCTGGACAGGTTCGAACCTCCAACCTTGCAGCTCATAGTCACGTGCTTAACCATTTATGCCACCCAGGGACTTCTATCTCTGCCTACTGAGATATAGATGGATGGGAGGAAATAGCAGAGTGGAAATCAAGTGTTGGAGACAGAAAGGGAGAGAAAAGGATGCATGTAAAAACCATGTAGGAAGAAACAGCCTCAAATTTTGGCCAACAGATGAGATGTGGGGGAAGGAAGAAGCAGAAATCGAGAATGACACCCAGGTTTCTGCTAGCCAGCTTCAGGACAGACAAAGATGTTTGTTTTAGAGAAAAGAGCATGGATTTAAATCCACAACTGTTGACTCTAAGGCCTTTTTGGAAACCAGAAGCACACGTCATCTGAAATAATGCCTGGAAAAGTGTGTGTTTCATTTGAAAATACTAACATCTTCACAATAGCTTCCTCCTTAAGAAGGACTTTCTTGCCTACACATTTTTCTCTAACAATAATTTTAAGAAAAACAAGAGTTTATATTTCTTACGTTCTAATTGAGACAGTGGACTGACTGAAGAGACGGTTCCCTTCAGTAGCAAGTGGAGCACTGGTTATATGTTTCCCTCTCTGCAGTGATGTTATGCCCGTCCAGGGTGGTGGGTCTCACTGAAGCAGCACAACAAGAGTCGGGACCTCCAGGAAGGAGAGATGTGAACTCCAGCAAAGATGGAGCCCATTGCAACATCAGCATCCCACACTCCCCAGAGCAAGTCCTTGATGGAACAAAAGGTGTGTGTGTTGTTGTTGTTGTTTGTGGAGAGAGATTGTCTTCTTCATCCCAAGACTCCACCAATCAAATACTCAACGGCCTGAATACAGCAGAAGTCAGGTTAGGCACATGCTTAGGACTTCCAGGACCTCTGCTGACCCCCAGAGGGAGGGATGGAGAGGAAACTTGCTTACATATCAAATTTACAACCAGTTCTTCTGCCAACACCTCCTGCAGTGACAGGCTTTGGGTGTGGTGGTGAGATTAATTTGTACTGGGAAATGCAGAATGCATCATAAATATAGGATCTTTGGTGGATATTTTTAAATCACAAGGGATTAGTGTGTGAGTCAGGACCAGGAACGCCCTTCATAGGCTTACTGCACACCCTGTACCTGGCTTCCTGAACCAGTCACTTTGTCAAATACCATCACGGAGACATAAGTCCACCTGCCCTGGAACCCATGAATACTCTGTCATGGTGTTGTGTGCCACTGAGTCAGTTCCAACTCATGACGACCCTGTGTAGGGTTTCCGAGAGCGGGACTTAGGAGAGGCCTTTTTTATGTCTGGGTTATCTTGCATAATATGTGTTGTTGTTAAGTGTCGTTGAGTCGGTTCTAACTCATAGATACTCTGTATAGGGTTTCTAAGGCTGTAAATCTTTGTGGGAGTAAAAAGTTTCATCTTTCTCCCATGGAGCAGTTGGTGGGTTTGAACCACAGACTTTGTGGTTCTCAGTCCAGTGCTTATCCTACAGAGCCACTGCACTCCCATTATAAGTATGTAATTATCCATTCTAAGTAGATATTGGATCATTTCACAGTGGTAATTGTCCTGCTGTGGCACTGATGGGTAAACACTAACTGAAAGTTTCCAGCTGCTCCTTAGAAACCCTCTACAGAGTTGCTATGAGTCAGAATCGAATCAGCAGCACTTTACAGCAGCAACAATCACCAATGTAAGGAGCCCTGGTGATGCAGTGGTTAAGCACTCAGCTTCTAAAACTAAAATATCAGTGGTTCAAATCCACTGGTCACTCCTTGAGAGTTTCTTTAAAACCATTGTGTCTTCATGCTGATGGTCTCCCTCAAATGGATGGTTTGACTTGTCATTGTCCTGTTTGAGATTTCGCAAAAGGGACTGCAATGTCGGTTTGAACCGCAAGGTCAGCATTTCAAACTCACCAGCCGCTCCCTGGAAGCCCTATGCAGGGTTGCTATGAGTCAGAAATGACTCGACAGCACTTAACTACAACCAAAATGTTCAAGCCCATCAGCTGCTCGCTGTAGGAAACAGATGAAGCTTTCTGCTCCTGTAAAGATTCACAGAGTTGAGTCGGAATAGACTTAATAGCAACTATGCGTTATTTATTTATTTATTTTTAAGTTTACAACTTTTTGGGAGTGTCCTACTCTGTTCTGTGGGGTTGTCACAATGAGTCAGAATTGCATCGAGGACAGGAGGTTTGGTGATTGTCAATAAACTGTTGGGAGAGATAATAGAGATTTATACAGTTCTCTTCTTTTAAGCAATAAAAAGACAAACGTCCTAAGAGATTAACCGCCTTGTTAGGTCACGGTTAGGTCAGGGCAGAGCTGGGATCAAGTCTCCATTTCCTGCCTCCAGCCTGGTGTTCTGACTTGAGTCAGACAATGCTATGTTGTCTGTTGGGTCGCCCACTCAAATGTGAATCTGTTTTCCTCTAAAAACACTAACGACACAGGCATGGAGGTGTCCCTTCTGAGATCCACTCTCCCTGGTGCCACCCACGAGTGCAGGCCTGGGTGCCCTGTAGTTCATGCGTAAACACACATGGGAGTTGAACATTTATTTCCTGTGTTGTTGGCTGCCTTGGTATTGGCGTTTCACTCATAGTGACCCCGTGCACAACATTGAGAGCCACAGGATTTTCTTTGACTGATTTGGGTAGGCACATCTCCAGGCCTTCTTCCTCATCTATCTGGAAGCTCTCCGGAAACGTATTCATCCTCAGAGCAACATGCAGGCCACCACTGGCAGAGGGGTGTAGATGTGTGAGAGGTACACTGGCCAGGAATCAAACCCAGGTCTCCCACAGATCCAAAATCCACTACCATCAAGTCGATTCCAATTCACAGCGAGGCTACATAGGGTTTCTGAGGCTGGAAATCTTTACAGAAGCAGACAGCCTAATTATTCCCCCATTGAGCACCTGGTGTGTTTGGACTGCTGACCTGTGGCTAGCAATCCAGCATCTAACCCCTGGCCACCACAAGGGCCATTTAGGTGTTCCACATGAACAACCACTACTCCCGTTAGGACAGTTGCATTCTTCATTGATCACTTGCTATGGGATACTGTGTTCTTTCTGCCCCACTGAGTTGGGAGACTGTGTTGGCTATCAGTTCTACAGGAATCAGACTGATGAAGTTGGGAGCATGCAAAGATGACAGGTTAGTGGTACAGACTCTTCAGCAGAGAGAATCTGTATAATCAGCTAATGTTATGAAATAGTTTTTCCATGTACTCCAGGAACTCTGGGTGGCGTGGGGTAGTTTTGGAAGGAACAAGGAACAGAGAATGTTTCCTGGAAAAGAGTTTCTAATTTCTCAAACCCACAAATGGCTGGTTTACATATTTCAAATCCATGATGTCAACTTGCCAATTTATAAAGGGAATCATCAGATCAAAAACTGTATATGTTTATACATAGTTATCCCTAAGAATTCTTCCTGCTGCTTAAGTTCACAGATCAAATTATAAATCAGAAACTTGCTTGGCCAATGAA